GATGGCAGGCTGCCACCTCTAATGATCACCTTAAATCCCTTTACAGAGAGTCTTCCGTACGAATTTATTGAAGGGATGTGGGTTCCTGACAAGTGAGCGTCTTGATTGTCCAGTGTTTTTTGTTGTTTTCTAAGCCTCTACTCAGTAGAGTCTACTGGATTGCAGGCTGTGAACATCTTATTGACCTTGGGTCGGCCAGAGCTGAAATTCAGAGGACCTAAAAGAGACATAGACTAAAGTTTCTGTGTTGAGTAAAGTAACTTGTATCCAAATTTTTTATGATCAGTATTTTTGGCCAACATCCTTTCAGGTGTCACTTTTAGGAAAGGTTTTAGGTGTTTCCAAGGTTGATGTGAGTTGATTTTTGATAGATAGATAGATAGATAGATAGATAGACAGATAGATAGACAGACAGATGCTACAATTAGTGTACATGCCTGTGTGTCTCTTTTCCACCAAGTAGGTGTCAGGGATCAAACTCAGGTCATCTGTCTTGGGGGTAAGCATCCCTCACCACTGACACATCTTGCTGGCCCCAAAAGTAGATTTTTACAGAACAGACAGAAGAAAAGAGCAGCTTCTGAGAATCAGGCCTTGATGGGAGAAGGGATTCATGTGTGCTTTATTTCTTGTTCCTTTCTGCCTTGTTAGAAATAGCACTCTATCATATCACCTTTACTTCTGCCTTGAATCATGGATCCTTGATGTTTCCAAAGCCTTAGAATTAATTAGGTTTTCATTCTCCAGCATTCTGTTTCATCTAATAGAATACATGATTTTTTCTCATCTCAATTTATTAAGTAATTCCTACTGCTAAAACCCCACCCTTTTATTTATTAATTTTTTATTTTACATACTAACCACAGTTTCACCCCTCTCCTCTCATCCCATTTCTTCCCCCTTCCTCCTTTCTTACCCCCCCCACCCCATCCACTCCTCAACAAAGCATGACATACCAAGTTGAGTCAGGACCAAGCTCCTCCCTGCTGCATCAAGGATGTGCGAGGCATCTAGATCATCATAGGGAATAGGTTTCAAAAAGCCAGCTCATGTGCCAGGGACAGATTTTGGTCCCACTGCTAGGGGCCACAAACAGACCAACTATTACCCACATGCAGACAGCTTAGTAAAACCCCACTCTTACATCCTCAACTTATCAAGTAGTTAAAATATACAGTTATCACAGAACCTCTGAATTTAACAATCATGTAGACAGGAACACACATCTTTGTGATATGTAAAGACATCCTCACATGCTGTGTTCTCTATTACCCTATGGTTTGTACTAATCCAGAGAAAGCATAATGCTTCATAGTGCTCGCCAAACTTCTTTGAAGAAGCAGCATCGACATTAAAGATGCTGCAGACTGCTTGGCTCACTTGAATAATGTGAATGTGGAGAAATGGAATGATGTACAGGGGGGCGCAAAATCATCTTGGGCTTGTTCAGGTCCTTTAGTCGCCATTTACCTCAATGTTTGTTTCTGATCTAACGTTCTCATAACTAGTAGATAGATACACTTCTCAGAACGGAAGCTTAGCAGACCTCTGACTTCCACCTTCCAAAGATTAAGAAAGCCGAAACTTCCTAAAATATATACATATATAAAGGTGATCTCAAAGAAACCACCAAATAGTGGGGGAGACAGAGTTCCAGTTGGTCATCTCTTGTCACCAAATTAAGTTTCCAGGACCAGGATTGGGTTATATCTAATTGATTTGTTGGTGAAAGGGGCCCCATTGGAATCCCCAATCAACCCAGGCTGTTGCCAAGATTTTAGGTTCCTCTCCACAAACTGACGGCAAGGTCCCATTGCTGAAGACAACACCTACACACCTCATTGAACATGGAGATGTCTAGCTGGTGCCGACGGAAAGCCTTCATCCCTATGTTCTAGTGTCTTCGGTACAGGAAGGCACTCTGCATGCTACCAAAAGAGAAACATAAAAACCAAACCAGCCACAAACCCTTTATCTACAATGGTGTCCTGCCTGCAAGACATGCTAGGGCAAGGGTGGCACAAAGCTTGTGGGAGTTACCAACCAAATAATACTAGTCTTAAAAAAGAAAGAAAAAAGTGTAGGAATGAAATGACTCCTAATGACATTCTGCTATACTCATAGATCAGTGCCTTGTTCAGCCATCATCAGAGAAGCTTCCTTCTGCAGCAGATGGGAACTAATATAGAGACCCACAGCCAGACACCACGTAGAGAGTGAGGCTTGGAACACTCAGCCCTAAATGAAATCCCTTTCCTCAGAGCTCAGAGAACTCTGTAAAGGAGGAAGTAGGAAGAGAGAGAGAGAGAGAGAGAGAGAGAGAGAGAGAGAGAGAGAGAGAGAGAGCCAGAGGGGATAGAGGACACCAAGAAAGCAAAGCCCTCTAAATCAATCTGAGCAAAGCTCATAAGAATTCAGAGACTGACTGAAGCAGCATGCCCCGGACCTGCCCGAGTCTGCACCAGGTTCTCGGTGTATATATTATGGCTTCCAGTTTAGTGTTTTTATGGGATTCCTGAGTGTGAGTGTGCCCAGCAAGTGGGTCTCCGACTCTTGTGCCTTATCGTGGGCTCTTTCCTTCTGTTGGTTTGTCCTGTCCAACTTGGATGTGATGGTCTTCTTTATCTTATTATATTTTATTTTGTTTTTTTTTTAATGAATGAATGAAAAAATGGAAATTGAGCCAGTAGGGTAAAGGTTAAGAACTGAATGTCATTTATACTTGCTAGGAGAGGAAAAGTTTGTTTTTTTTCCAACGGAGTGACACTAGATACATCAGTCACTCCAGTGCAGGTCTCGTGTTCAGGAGTAGTTGACCAACATACAATGGACTCCGCAGTTGTGTGTGCGGTGCTTTTATTTGGTTACAGTTGGGGTTTGCATTTCTTTTTGGGTATTGTTTTATTTTGCTTTCTTGGTTTTGGGGTTTTTGTTGTTATAGTATTGGATTTTCTGGGTTTTTTTTTTTTTGAGAAAGAACTTAAAGTTGGATTAGTATATTTAAATTTAAAAATTATTTTAAATAATAAAAAATTCTTTAAAATGAATGGTGAAAGGGGGCTGGAGAGATGGCTTAATGCTTAAGAGAACTGGCTGCTCCTCTAGAGGACTTGGATTCAATTCCCGGCACCTAAGCAGAGGCTCCCACCCTCTGTAACTTCAGTCCTAGAGGACCAGATGCTCTTTTCTAGCCATGGTCATGGGCACTGCCCTCAAATGGCACACAGAATCCAACAAACACTCCTACACATAAAGTGTGTGGCAGCGAGCTCGTTTAAAAAAGGAAGTCTAAAACCTACACAAGGGATTTTCCCATTGTGCTGTAGTCCACCTACCCGATGCTCCCACCAGTGCGTTTGGTAAATGCCTTGATTTTTTTAACTTTCCTTTGTTCATTTATATAATCTCTTTTATAGTGGAACATGTTATCCAGGATAAGTTGACTCCCTGTTTTTAGGCCATAGCTGCTCCTTTACAGTTTAGAATAATTTAATTTTCTTTTAAGCAGTTATTGTTCATGACTGAACAACAGTCTAGTTCATTTTACATAAAACTTCTCTGTCTAGTGTAGGGTAAAAAGGGCCAAGGAAAAAACACCCTGCCCCTGGCTAGACCTGAGACCTGGGCAGAGGAAAAACACCCTGACCCTAGGACCAGGGCTTGAAATCCCACAAATACCTGAGCTTGCCCCAGATTCAGACTACAAAAATCTCCCAGTCCCAAGTGACCCTGGAAAACTCCCCCAAACCTTATATATAAGCTCTGTACCCTGGCCAGTGTGCTGCTGCTTCTCACCCTAGAGTCAGTCACTCTCCTGATTTTTCCTTCCCAATAAATCTCGAGTGAGGTTTTTTGTGAGGTGTGCCGTTTTCATGGGACCTGAGCCCAGATGTTAAAATTCTTCACAGAAGCCGGACTGCAGCAGAAACTTTCCCCCGGCTGGGCAGAGCTGTTACACTCCCCGGGACTGAGCAGAGCTGTGACACTTCTCCAGAACAGAAGTGTAACAGTTTCTCTGGGGAAACCCTCCCCTGCCGGAGCAGAGTTGTTACACTTACACTGGGGAAACCTTCTGGAGCAGAGCTGTAAACTAGCACGCTTACAGTGACTGCGGTATTCCTTGGCTCCCTTCTGCCTGGATACCTTTCCATCTGAGCTCCAACACTTACATCTAGTCCCTTATACATCTAGGTAGAAAACAGAGAGGTTATGTAGAACGTTTCCATTATTAGAAATAGCAATTTCAGACAATCCTGTATATTCCTAAACAGCAAAATAAAAACTCTAGTTATGAAACACGTTTCCATGAGTTCTAGGATTGAACTCTGTTCCAGTAGAACTCCCTAGGAAGCCTAATTGAAGCCTTCTGAAACCGACACTTGATCTCTGGTTTTTTTTGTTTTTTTGTTTAAGAGACAGGGTTTCTCACAGAGTTCCACCTGCCTTGGCCTCCCAAGTGCTGTGATTAAGGGCATGTGCCACCACCGTCCTGCCTGATTTCTGTTTTAATGAGGGTAAAACAGCCTACTGAACAGGCAGGCGTATCATGCTAAGGAAACATGCACAGAGCTGTGTTCTCGCTTCTGAATCCCAAACACGCAGTTCTTGTGCTCGGGATTAATGAGCTTTTGCCTTGCAAAATGATTTCTTTAATCATTCAGCAGTTACTGAGCGCCTTCAATACGCCACACTCGACGCTGCAGTGAAGAACTGTTTTCGAGGAGCTTACACCATGGGCAGGCATTTTTAGCATGTTCTATCACACAATCATCTAAAATAGATCATCACGACATCTAAACCTGGGGACTCTGCCTTTGGCAGAAGAAAGGTACATGTGACCTTGGATCAGGCCGATGCAACCGTCACTCAGTGGCCAGAGGAAAAAGCGGCAACACCCACCACTCTGCACGACACAGCCGGTTGCTGGGAGCCTTGCCCGGCTGTGACGCACGGGCCTCACCACCCCCCGCACCCCTCCGCGTCTCCGCATCCAGTCTCGCCCCGCCCTTCCCTTCCCTGCCTCCGTGCCCAGTGCGCATGCTTGCGATTCCCGGGTTCCCTTCACTTGCAACCGTGGCGGACCTGCCTTCGCCTGGTCGGCTATTCTCCGAGGAGCTCCGTCCTCCCTCGGCGGTCCGGCGGTCCTCGGCGATCCGCCGCCAACGCCGTGCTCCCGGACGACGCGTCTGGCGGGCACACCCTCGCCGCGAAGCCGCGCAGGGCAAGAGGAGGATGGCCACCTCTGGCGTGGAGAAGAGCAAGAAGAAGACCGAGAAGAAGCTTGCAGCTCGGGAAGAAGCCAAGCTGCTCGCGGGTTTCATGGGCGTCATGAACAACATGAGAAAGCAGGTGCGGGCTGCGCGGGGCCGCGGGCGGGGCGGGGCGGCTGGGCCTGTGGCCTTGGCTGCAGGCCTGCTCTGCCACGGGGCTTCCGAGGCCCACTCTGCGTGGACTCCTGGCGGGCGGGCGGGCGGGCGGGCGGTGGGCCTCCCGGGGCCGTTGTGTAACCGGTCTGCTCCAGTTCTCTGTGAAGCCCCGAGCATTCGGAGTGCGGGCGGTTACGGTGCGGTAAGATCCCGAAGCCCGCAGAGGGAGGCTTCCCGCCCCGCCTCCGTTGGTAACCAGGCGGCACTACTCGACAAAATCCTCCCATCCCTGCTAATTTAGGGTAAAAAAAAAAAAAAAACCAGATCCCGGCAAATAACCGTTTTCTAAGGGCCCTAGGCGCCGCTGTTACCTAGAGTGTCTCTTTGTTCTGTCTTTGATATGTGGCGTATTCGTGCAACTGCGGCACGTCGTCGCAAGGTGGCTTAGGAAAAGCACGTTTTAACGGCGGAGACGGTGGGCAGATTTTTATTTATTCATTAGATTATGACCTCTGATAGACCGGTAAGCATGGGAACGCCGCTTATGGCTGCTTTTTGGTTCCGTGAGCTTTACTTGGTAGAGAACACACATGGAAGGAGGTTGCAGGGAACGTTTCAGTTTGTTGACTCCGATTCTGTTTTTCAGGAGGACAAAGCACAGCGTAAGCTTGAGTGACTGAAAAACCTCATTCGCCTTTCTGGCGCTTTTGCTGAGAGTATGCAGAGCCGAAGAATTTAAGGTCTATTTAGGAAGATACCAACTCCTGATTTCTTTAAGCCAACGCTGGGCGCTGCAATCTTGTCTTTGTTCACCAGCTGGCGCAGTGCTCTGGCAGCGCTCTGGTGCGGTAGATACTATGTTCTCGAATGCGTAGCTCATTCCTGGCCTTTGCTGAAATAGCTGCAAATGGCTGAATTCACTGTTTAGCGTGTATCTCTTCACATTCGTCTGATTTTCTTGTAGCCTTCTTGTGGTTTGCAGTATTGATAATCTGAGATTGCAGGTGTCTTTGATGTGTGCTTGTAGTGGTGATTAAATCGAGCTCAGTTGTGTTTACACTCGTTTGAACTCATTCTCTTTACTCCCACTCCCCCAAGCCTTGTCGTCCATGGACCGCAGCTTTGTAAAGCATTACCTCATTCCTTAAATAGATAGGCTGCAACATCAGATGTTAAACTTGAGAAGATTGCTTGAGCCTGTATGTTTAGCTCTTTGATTTTAAAATTGGTTCAAGCTTTAGACTGCTGACGTGTTTATTTTGTTGTTAAAATATAGAAATACAGTTACAAAATTAGAATTACTGAAAAATCAAGGTTATGCTACTGAATACAAAGAGTAATATGGATACTTGATTGAGCACCTAACCTGTGTGCCTGCTTTTTCTTTATCGTTGACTTGGGTGTATTTCAGACCCCCCCCCCCCAGCATTTTTATCACCTTGGTGGATTCCTGCATTTTTAAAAGATGCCTAGTATCATTTTGTATTGATTTACATTGTTGTTTAGTTTTGTTGAGATATTATAGACTCCTCTGTAGCATTTTAATCACCTTAATGGATTTCTGTATCTTTGTCTTATTTAGGGTTCTATGCCAAGTTCTAATACTTCCTGGGGCTGAAACATGGTCCCCTTGTTCAAATACATTTTTCACCAGGTTTCTGTTTTCCATGGTTTCCTTCACTGTGTAAGCTTGGCTGCCCTGGAACTATCTCTGTAGACCAGGCTGGCCTTGAACTCAGAGATCTGCCTGCATCTGCCTCCTGAGTGCTGAGATTAAAGGTATATACCACCAATTCCTTTTCACTTTTCTCTGATTCCTTTCCACAGGTTGGAAGCTTAGTTGGGTGGAGTTTTGCCCTGAGGTCATCACTACCTTCTTTATTCCATTTAGGACCTTGCTTTTAACTTTTTATCTCCTTGAAGCACAAGGACCATTACAATTCTTGGTGTCCCTTTTCTCCTCAAACTGTGCATTTTGTAGTTTAACTTGCTCAGCTTCCTCCTTTTCATTATAAATCTGCATAAAACTGGCCACTAATAACCACACAACACACTCAATGCTAGGCTGTTTTGAAATCTCTGCCAAAGCTGTTAATAACTTTTCAGTTAAGCCTCAGGCAGACTTTTTGGACAAGGGCAGAAAGCAGCCACATTCTTCTACAAAATATCGCAATGGTCTCTAGGCCACATACTAATGGTCTCTGAAACCTCTTGAACTGGGCCTCCATAGTTGTAATCACCCTCAGCACCACTGTCTCCCATGCTCCTACCGGTGTGGCTCATTAAGCCCCACTTAAACCATTCAACTGCTTTCCTAGTCCCAAGTCCCAAAGTCCACATTCCTCCAAACAAAAGCACGGTCAGCTCTAATACAGCAATACCCTAGTCCCTGGTACCAACTTCTGTCTTAGGGATTTATTGCTGTGATGAGACACCATGACCACAGCAACTCTTATAAAGAAAAACATTTAATTGGGGCTGACTTACAGTTTCAGAGGTTAGCCCATTACAGTCATTCAGGAAACATGGCACCACACAGGCAAACATTGTGCTAGAGAAGGAGCTGAGAGTTCTACATCTGAATCTACAGACAGCAGGAAGAGAGAATGACACTGGGCCTGGCTTGAGCACTTGAAACCTAAAAGTCCATCCCAGTGACACTTCCTCCAATAAGGCCACACCTCCTAATAGTGCCACTCCTTATGGGACTATTTGTCCATTTTCATTCATACCACCACAATTTTTTTTAAGATACATACTTTCATTTTATAGTTGGTTATTTATATGGTATTGCTCATAGCACAGAAAGATTTAACTAAGAATGACTGACAAGGACAGTTGATGGGGATAGGCTGAAGCAAAAGGAACATTTGCTTGAGGACCAGTTTTATAAGTATTACTGTTCTTTGGTAAATATGTTAAATCTCAAGTTTGTGTTATATTTTGTTTCCTTTTAAACCTCATTACATTGCAGATGAGGATTATGAGTGCTTGAATGACAAGGACCCTCTTGGCATTTCACCCAGAAACATTCTTTCAAGGATTTCAGAACACTCTTGAGATTAGTATATCTCAATTCCAGTTCCTACTCTACTACTGATTTGTTCTATGTAGATTTAGGTAGCACAATTTAGGTAATTTCTTTTATGTAATGCTGTATGAGTCCATTTTCTTGCTATAACAAAATACCCAAAGAGTAGTAATTTAGGAAGAAGACAGGATTATTTAGTTTCCAATTCTGGAGGTCCAAGACATTACCAATATCTGTTCAATTTCTGATGGGGAGCACACACTGTCCCCTGAAAATCAGAAACGAATCAGCTTTGTGCAGAAACAAGCACGCTATGAAAGAACAACTGAGGGTGAGGGGAAGTGGCAGGCATACTTCATAACCATCCGTCCAGAGAGTTAAGTTACCCTTTTGTGAAAGATAGTGCACATGAGTGCATGTGCCTTCAGAGGTATCAGATGTCCCGGTCCTGAAGCTACAGGCATTTGTGAGCTAAGAACCAAACTCAAGTCCTGCAAGAGCAATATGTGCTCTTAACTACTGAGCCATCTCTCTAGCCCCCAAGTCACTCATAGGAACCACATTGTTTTCGTGAGGATGGAGCCCTTATTGTCTAGTTACTTCTGAAAGGCCCCACCTTTGTCCCATTTTTAATTGCCAGTGTATGTAAGTTTTAACATTAGTTTTACTACAGACAAACCATAGAAGTAGCATGTGGTGATATATTGTGTACCTTAATAAACTTGCCTGAGGAACTCAATGAAATCCTCAGCCTAAAGAAAGTGAGTTCCTGTTTCCTCACGCCTTTCTCTGCCCTGCCATATTACTTCCTGGGATTAAAGGTGTGTGCCACCACGCCTGACCTCTATGTCTAATCTAGTGGCTGGCTCTGTCCTCTGATCCTCAGGCAAGTTATTAGGGTCCACAATGTGTCACCACAGTAGCACTCTGCAGAGCCAACAGTCTTAGTTTTTTGTGCCTTTTCCTCCATTATCTGGTCATTTCTTACCCATTGTTTTTAAAGTAAACTTTGTGATAAAGTGTAAGATTTATAAATCTGAAACTTGGTAATTATAAAGTGAATAGATTGCTATTAATAGAACTGAAATGTGACCAGTATAAAGAAAGGTTTCTTGTGCCTTCTCAATCATTTTCCCCCATGATAACTGCCATTTTCTTACCAGTTTTTTTTATAAATAAAAATTATTTTGTATAAAATTATTGATTTTTATAAATAAACATTACATAATGTATACTTGGGTTTATTTTGTTTCCCTTTTTTTTTAATCTGCATTGCTGGGGGTTAAACTCAGGGCCTTGTACATGCTGAGTAAGCACTGTACCTCACTGAGCACCCAGCACCATGCCTCAGTTTCTTAAAACCAACCTTAGTGGGTTTGTCTGTGTTTTAGTATTTACTACTAGCTCATTTGTTTTGGAATATGGTATTTCTTTATCAAATGTATCATGATCTACTGGTGTGTTATTATGCACTCTTGAGTTATTTCTGCTTTGGTGTTTTTAGGAATAATGCTGCTGGTGGAACATGGCAGCCCACGTCTTTAATCCTAGCACTCAGGAGGCAGAGACAGAGGCAAGCAGATCTATATGAATTTTGGGTCATCCTGGTCTACATAGTAAACCCTAGGCTGGCAAAGGCTATGAAGAGAGGCCCTGTTACAAAAAAATAAAGAAAAAAAATTTTTTGTTCTAAAACTTTTAGAGAACATGAAGCTGGAGAGGGAGGGAGAGAGGGAGGGAGGGTCTGGGAGGAATTAGGGGGAAGAGTAACATCAAAAACATATTGTATGGCCGGGCGGTGGTGGCGCACGCCTTTAATCCCAGCACTCGGGAGGCAGAGCCAGGCGGATCTCTGTGAGTTCAAGGCCAGCCTGGACTACCAAGTGAGTTCCAGGAAAGGCGCAAAGCTACACAGAGAGACCCTGTCTTGAAAAACAAAAAAAAAAAAAAAA